CACCTGGTACGTTCAGGTCTGTGAATAGCTGGGCAGAGGCTGTGTGATAGATAATAGCAATAACACACAACATATACAGTCTCACTATTTGTACTTCTAAACCTCACAACAGTAGGCTACAGAAGACTACTAGTCTTTTTTTGATTTTTTTGGCTGGGGTTTGAACTCAGGGCCTCACACTTGCTAGGCAGGCACTCTACCACTCGAGCCACTCCACCAGTCTTATAGACTGGGAAACTAAGGCCCAGAGAGGTTAAGTAGCTCATCCAAGGTCACACAGCCCCTAAGCATTATGGCAGACATCTGGCTTTTGAATCTGTGTTCTTAACCATTACATAATTTCCCTTTCAAATGTGTGTGTCTTGGAGTGCATGCATGCCTTTGTGCCTGTAAAGGTTTCAATGTGCACCTGAATGTCTGGCTCTTCACTGTAACATTCTATCCGAGTGTGTGCGTACGTGTGTACGCTTATGCATTTTTGCCCACAGTGATGTGTGGGCTGGTCTTTGAGTATGTGGTTGGACAGTCTAGCCCACCAGCCCTTCTCCCATCAAGGCTGCAAGATGGGGCAGGGGATGCAGCTCACAGAAAGAGTGCTTACCTAGCATGGACAAGGCTCTGGGTTCGATCCCATAGCAAGAGGGGCGAGGACTTATGTGGGGCTCAGTCCAGAACTCCCTTCTCCAGTAGCCTGGCATTGTCTTGCGACAATGTGGCCAAGATCCCAGAGCTCTCAGGCAGTGCCCCGTCCCAGACCCCAGAGAGTTCTGGGGGAACTCAGAGTCACATATAACAGGTCCCTGGGCCACTCCAGCTCATTCATGAGCTGCCCCCACCTAGAACTCTGTCTCTACCTTCTCAGGTCATGGTGAGTTTTAGGGTTAGTCACCAAACAAACTACAGTTAGTAAGTGACAGACAGCTTGCTTCCTATCTCAAAAACATAGAAATGTTAATGGTGTTTGACCCCACACAGCCACCACCCTGGCCTGAGCTAACAAGGCCTCCAGCCCAAAGCAAAGAAGCTTCCCAGAACACTCAGAACACTCAAGAATGGTGGTCCATTCGTCCTCAAGCAATGATTAAGATGTAAAGTTTTGGGCCGGGGGCGGGGAGGGGGAGTGGCTTAAGTAGTAAAACCCTGCCTAGCAATTGCCAGGCCCCGAATTCAAATCCTAGTACTGCCAAAAACATGCAGAGTTCCTTCAGATGCCACAAAGCTGGAGAGAAGTCCTCACCATCAAAGTCAAACTCAACAACCAACTGCTTTCCCCAAGCAAGGACTTACCCAGACAGAGCTGAGCTGGAGCTCTGAGCCTGTATTTTCTCCACATCTTCTTCCTAACCTGGCCACCACAGACTGACCAATGGAGGGTGTGCCCCCTGACTTTTGAGTCTCCCAGAGTCAAGAGGGAGGAGCCGGGTGGGGAGGGGGCAGGTGTAACTGTGGGAGGCTGAATAAGAACATCCCAGACTGACCCACAAGTGGCTGTTTACTTGTGGCATTCAGCAGAGGCTGAGTTGGGAACAGGCTTGTTGATTTTCCACCCTCCCTCCATATCCTTTTCATGGAGTCCTTTCTGGCCCAGTGGTAAATTTCCCAGGGGCCAGAGAAACCCAAGGTTTCCCAGCACAGAGCCATCTTTTGGGGGAGCGGGAGGCACACAGGAAGAGGGATATGGGAACTGGAGACAGAAATTACCTGGCTCAGGGGCTCCCCGTGGTCTGCCTCCTCCTCCACACTGGCAGGGGACCAGGAGCAATGGGCCAGATTTGAGGCAATGGAGACAGAGGCAGAAGAAACTGTCTGGGCCTGCCAGGGCCACCCCACGCCCATCTGTGGAATGCACAGGCTCAGGGCAGGACAAGCAGCATTCTATCATCTCTTTAGGCCTCCAAGAAGAAAAGGTGATAAATATCATTTCTGTTTAAGGAATGAAGAGGAACACTGTTTCTTTTTGGGCTGTGTGATTTCAGTAAGCCAGAGACCTCTGTGTCTTAGTTGCCTGGCAGCAAAAACAGCCTTAGCTCCCATGCAGCGTGAATTCCCAGCAGAGGCTTTCATAGCCCCTCCAGGGCTTCACCCATCACCTAATGATGATCCCAAGTCTGTCCCAGGTATGGGGCACTGGGATGAATAGTCCCTGCCCCTCACTCAGGTGGGGCAGCTCCTCCCCACACTCAGGCTCCCAACTTCCCTCCTGGACAGCAAGTTCAATCCGCCAGGAAGGAGCAGGGAGCTTCAGGATCTCTGTAACTTGGCACTGTGAAGGCTCTCGGGACTCACCCAGGTGGGCTCCTCCAAGCTCCTTGCTTCTTTTTAAGCGCACAAGCTTTTCTTGTACCACGGATACCTGAATCAGAGGCTCTGGGGTGGATGACATGGGCTGGGCTGGGGGCAGGGAGCCCCACCCCCAGCAGAGGCAACCTCTTGCAGCCCTTGGGGGTTAGAACACCAGCCAGAATGAAATCACAGCTGCCCAGCCTTGGGGCCTGCAGAAGCGACCAGAGAAGCAGAGCTGCAGTTCCCCAGCTTCGTAACCTCAGACTCGCTGTTCCCCCTGGAGCTTCATTCTCCCTGTGTACAGTGGAACCAACAGGTTTCAGTCCTTTTGTGAGCCATGGGTGCAGAAATACAGCTGGGGACCAGGTGAGCTAGAGCTGTCACCTCCCCTGGCTACCCTGGCTCTGCTCCACCTGTTCCTTCTGATGATCAGACATGGCCAGCTCTCTAGGACACATGACTGGGTGGGAAGGACAGGAGTGACATGGTCCCCTGTATTTACCAGGTAAGTGACAACAGGAAGCAGCAAGTGAGGGCTGCTCTCCCAGGTAATAGATTAGACTGGTGAGACCAAAGAGGGGAAGGAAGATAGTGAGCCATTTGAGGGTCGGCTATTAGCGCTTCTTCCCGTTGCAAGTGGAGGTTTTGTCTCTTCTCAGAGAGACAGTGAATCATCTCTCTTGGGAATTACTGCAACACCTTTTTACATTCGCCCCAAACCTCTGCTGTCTCCTTATTTCCAGATCCACATAGACGCCTGTGGCAGCCTGGTAACCCCAGTCTTTGATTCTCACAGCCTATGATAGAACCCAGGTTCAGCAGAAGTGTGGGAAAAAGAGGGATGTGGTCGGTCAGAGGCCCCAACACCAGGATAGAAAGCAGCACCAGAGCTGTTTCCTTGTTGCCATGGAGACCTAGTAGAGACCTCACAGTCAGCCAGGCTGGTGGAGACAGCACCATTCTGGAGTCAGACTCTCCAGGTTCAAATCCTGGCTTTGTCTCTCATCAGCTGTGTGACTCTGAAAAAGTTACTTAAACTTTTCTGAACCTCAGTTTCCCAATCTGTAAAAAGGAAAAGAAATAAATGCAAACTTCACAGGAATATAATGATTTAATGAGATAACCTATAGAGCTCTTGATTCCCAGAAGGTATAATGAAGATGGAAAGATGACAGAGGAAGTGACTGGCTGGAGCATTCCACCTGAAATTGGGGGTGGTCAAGCCCAGACCCCCCCACACACACTGTCCTGCTAGGGGCACAGTCCTGGGTGCTGCTCACATGTTAAGCTAATTCCAACATTTAGAAGCTTGGAAAGCACACTGCTCCTAGGCAGAGTTCTTCAGGAATAAGAGTGGAACTGACATTTCTTCTCGGTGGCACACCCTGGCCACCCCCACATCTTTTCATACTCTCAATCTCAACTGCTGGCAATGCCAGTTCCCAGAACACAGGATGCTTCTGCTTCTCTGAAAAACTCACACCACTTGGCACAGAAGAATGGACACCAACACTCAGTACAGGGCCTGTGACTGCCCCTCCACCTGCTGCCACCACAGAGCCAAGCCCCTGCTGGAGGACACAGTCACTGCATGACACCCATCTCCAGCCAGGCCACAGGAGCCAGCGGGAAGAAAAGATGTCCCCCATGCCACATGTCCTGATGCCTCAGCACACATCCACTAGCGTGGCCTAAGGCTGTCTCCACTTACCCACCCTCTCCCCTACAGCCAGCATAGGGCAGGGCTGATGGAAGCCACTCTGCTACAGATCTAGTCATTCTGAGACCCACTGAGTCTGCCAAATACCACTCCATCTCACCCCCAGCTTAGCCAGATGCAGAAATGGGACTTTCCTGCTGCCCTGAGAGGCGGGGCAGCAATGATGAGGTTCAAATTCTCAAAGTGAGCCCACAGACACAGCGAAACATGCTACTTGGGTCACTTCCCCAAACACATGGAGCAGGTCTCCCTGCAGTCGGTCAAGGCCTCTTTCTCTCCAGGAAGACCAATTCTGACTTTGTAGATTCCCACTGAACCCATAGCAAGTCCATAATACATACCAGTTACTGGTGCCATCCATCATCAAGTGACTACTCACTGCTTATCTTACTGTGTGCCAGGCATTACACTAGGCCCAAGAAGATCCTCGGAACATCCACGGGCCCAGGATATCAGCAGCAGAAGCCAAACAGAACTTCAAGTGCAAGGAAAATAAGTCTCCTGACAGTCCTGGTTTCTCCCTGACCTTGGTTACTCCCAACTCCCCATACCCTGCACACCGGGGGTTGGAATCTCCAGCTCCCTGGAAGTCTCTCTGAGGAAGCACATCCGCTGGGGGGAAGGGTCTCTGCTTCCCTCCAAGGCCCTGTCACCGCCACCGCGCAGCTGTCCAGCGCACACTGCCTGCAACCTTTCCCACTCTGCTCACAGACCCCAGCGCGCCGGACTGAGTTTATGAATCACTCCCTCCGTCTCCGGCCTCGCCTCCGGAAGGGCTGTGCACGCCGACACATCACCCAGACACCGAGTTTCCACATCAGATCCGCTCCTGCCGGTCCCGGAGAACCGAATGCAATGTCTGCTTCCCCACTCCTGCGACTGGCCATCCCAGCCACAACCTTCCAAACTCCAGACAGCCTGTCCCCTGCCATGGCGCTTTGGGGGCTTCATTTCAGTGGGAAGGCGGGGAGTTGCAGGGGCAACAAAGACCGTGGATTTAATTGAGGGGCACAAAGATAAGTCCTAGTTTAATAGCCCACGGCCGCTCTCTCCGGCTCGCGGCGTGTGCCAGGCAGTGCGTGCGGCGTGTGCTACGATCTGCACGCGCTGTCTGTGGCTTGCGCGGTGGCGAGGTGTGTGTACCGGCAGAGGTGAATCGGGGTGCGTGGGGTTTACCCCGAGCCAGAACTCCCTCTCCTGCCCTCCGCTTGCCCCCTTCTTCTTCCAAAGTTTGGCGCGCGCGCGGGGACGCGGAGGGCGGGGGCGCACGGCGGGGCGGCCTCTCCTCCCGGCCACTTACCCCCGGCGGCCGAGCCTCCTCCGGCGCGGGCTGATCCGATTCTCCCCGACCGCCTGTCGTCCAGCGCGGGCAGCATCCGCTCGCGACTTCGCCCTCCCCTCGGAAGATCCCGGCAGAAGCGGCCCCGACTCCCGAGCCACCGTCCCTGCGCTCTCCCTGGGGCTGCACGGAGGGAGCAAGCAAAAGATCGAAGGAGCGAGCGAGGGATCCAGGGAGGAGGGAGGGAGGCGCGGCCCCGCCGCTCAGCTCCCCGGGCAGGAAGCGGCGCCAGGCGGGCGCCGTCCTGCGCAGCGAGTGAGCGAGCGAACGGTTCTGCCTGCGCCCTCCCCGCTCCCGCCGCGCCGGCGAGCGGCCCGCGGCGGCGGCGGCGGATTCCTGAACCGCGGCCAAGGCGCCCGGGGAGCCCCCCACCCCGCCTCCTCCTCTCCTTCCTCACCCCACCCAGCTTCCACCCCTGCGCGCCCGGCAACTTGGGAACCGTTGGCGAAGTTGGCGCAGCTTGGGCTGCATGCTGGCCGGGCCTCTGGGGGAGGAAGGGGACGATGGGAGGAGCTGAGGAGCAGGGGGAGGGGACCCGCCCCCGGGGAGCCGCGCTCTCCAGGACCCCTCTGGGTCTTTGTTCCGTGCGCTGCACCTCGGCCGCGCGTCCCCGGGGACCCCCACCCCTCCCGATGAGGCTGGGAGGAGCTCCCGGCCCCCGGGTGGGTAGTGGGGGGAGAGGCTGCGTGCAGATCCCCGTGGCTTCATCCTGCCCGATTCCCCCCTCCACCAGAGAGACCCTCGCGGGTTCTCTGTCACATCTGCCGGAGGGAGGATCTTCCCGCCCCTCCGGGCTGAGTTCCAAAGACCACCGCATCCCCTCCCTGGGCGGCAACAGGTCACCCACCCCCCCTTCTCCTTTTTCTCCAGCAGGGCTCCCCGAATGCAGGATCCTCGGAGGGTCCTCGCCAGCAGGAGTCCGAGTAGCTTGGCATTATCTTCCGACTCTCTGGGACAGCTGGCGCCTCTGGCCAAAGGCTGCGGAGCGAGTGGGACCCTTGACCTCCTGGGGGCAGTGGCCAGATGCGTAGTGCCGGGTCTGGGGTACAAAGGCGAGTTTCACCAGGAACGTAGTGAGGGGCTCAGAATTGGAACACAAACCGAATCTCCTGTACTTGTTGAAATCCTGGTAGATGCCATATGCTAGACTGTGGTAGATTCTAGCTTGCCGGGCTTTCCTCCTGACTCCTAGCACTGAGTCTCATGAGCTAATCAGGCCTCTCTGACACTGGTCCTGACATTTAGTTCCATTCTATAGGGTTTAGACACTGTGAGTGAAAAGGGGAAAACTAGATATCTGTACTTGACCTCCCTCTTTCATTTTCAACATTACAAAAAGGAAGGAGATGCAGAACCAGATAGGACTGATACAACTTCATTGGGTGCTTCCTCCTAATATTAATAGTTCTGTGGCCAGTTGTAGAAACCAGGGATTTGGTGAGAATTCAGACCAATTAGCCTGCCAGAAAGTTCCCTGAATTCCCTCCTCCCCCAGTCCACCTTAGGCATTCCAACAGGTTTGGGGGAGAGTAGCTTTGTTCATGGCTTCCTGCAGACTCCATTACCTCTTCTCGGATGGAAGGATTGTCCCAGGAACCTCACAAATCTGTCAGGAAGCTGCATTGAACTATACCTGCTGGCAGAAGTCTTTCCCCTAGGAACATAGTGACTTTTGGATTTTATCACCAGAAGTCTGTGATGCACCTACAGGGAACAGACACCAAAAGCAAAAATGGCCTCCCCAGCAGGACATAGAGAACAGGGCTGTGTGCTGTTTGGGGAGGCAGAGGGTGCGAGTGGAACTGAGAAATCCCTTGATGAGCGCATATTGAAAACTGGGGCCCAGAGAGGCAGCCAAGCCTTAGTCCTGCCCTCTGTGTAGAGAAGATGGGCTTCTATCGAGACAAATACGAGTGAAACAACCGGGTCACTTGCGGCGAGATTGCGGCAGTTTCAAGAACAGGACTGTAAGTATGCACAACTCCAGGGGGCGCCAGACGCACCAGGTGTGATGTCACCTTTGCAGCTGGGCAGCGCTGCAGCCCTGTTCTTGGAGCTGACGGCCCCGCTAGACCTTGAGGCCTGAGGTAGAAGCATATGAGGGTATTCATCCCCCAGGCTGTGGACCAGCAGGACAGCCAGTGTGTGGACCTCCAGCAAGGGCATCCTGCTTGCCAATGGGGAGTGGAGGGCAAAGGTCTGAGCGAGGACACTGAAAACTTTCATCCTAGGATAGTCTCCAGGCTCGACTTTTGCCACAATTGCTCAACCAAGAGAATTGGTCTCGTTTTTTTAAAACTCTGTTTGAAAAATGGAAAGAACTTTCCAGCCAGAGGCAGAGTTGCGGAGTGGTTAGGATGGGGGAACTTGAGTACCATCTTCACCAAGAAATTCATGAATGTCACTGGTCATGGGACAAAGCCCCTGGTGGGATGCCTTGAGGACACAGCACTGTATAGAAATATTCTTGCCCAAAACATGTCCCTTTGATCCAGTGTGGGAAACAGTAGACAAATTCAAGCTACAAAACAATTACAAAACAAATTTGACAGTTACAAAACAATTTGTCTGTAATTCTTAAATTCCAGCGACAAAACAAGGCCAAGCAATTGGTCGGGATGAGAAGAGACGAAAGGGACAAGAGCACAGTGATTGGCAGATTGGGGTGACAGACTGTCCCTACTCAGATTAGGTGACAAAAGATTGAGAGCCCTGCCTGCTAGAATTCTCATCTGACTCTTCCCAGCTTGGTTTTTGCTCTGATGTAGCAAGTCACAGCATTCTGAGCTGCCGGCCTGAAGGGCCCATGTTTCAAAGAATGGGGGAGACTTTTGGCCAATAGCCTGCAAAGAGCGGAGGCCCCAAGTCCAAAAGTCTGTGGTGACTCCAATCCTGCTCATAATCTCTAAGTAGGGTAGAACAAGAGCTGGCCCCAGTTGAGCTTTTGTTTGATCTGCTTTGAGACAGGGTATTGCTTTGTAGCCCATACTAGCCTGGAGCTTACAATTCTCCTACCTCAGTCTCCCAAGTGCTGGGATTATAGATATGCCACACCATTTCAGCCTCAGTTGAATCTGTACCCTGATTCCTGATCCACAAATGCTAAAATGGAAAATATTGTTTTAGACTATCAAGCTTGGGGTAACTTGTTATGCAGCTATGTGTAACTATACAACCACTAAATGCAATGTGTCATTCTGATCTGGATCTTGGAACTGAAAAAATTACTACAAAGACATTATTTAGGTAATAGGGAAAATATCTGAATAGGGACTGAGTAAATAATCTTGTAACAATGTCAAACTTCCTAAGTGACACTGTACTGTGGGTTTGTGATGCACACTGAAAGACTGAGTTTCATGATTTATGCCCACTTCCTCTCAAATGGTTCAAAAATAATAGTAATAAAACATAGTATATATTTACTATATAACATACAATTATAGAGAGCATTTTATTTATATATTAATTTATCTATTGCAAAATAAATTACTCCAAAACTTGATAACTCAAAATAACAAAAATGTATCATTTCTCAAAATTCTGTGGTTGACTAAATTGATCTGGAAGATAATTGCTCTATGTGGCATCCACTGTGACCATCATTCGACTGCATTCAGCTAGCAGCTGGGCTGCATGGAGCTAAAAAGTGGAAAAGGCTTTGGTGCCACTCAGCATGGCCTCTCTCTTCAAAGGAGTAGATTTGATAGGTAGCAGATAGCCATGAGTGATGGGGATATGCAAGGGGACCCTAACATGCAGAATCCTTGGTTCAGGGCGTATGTACTGGGAGTTCTGCTTTCTCCCTCTCATGGCTGCCTTGCCTACATGCTGCAAGCTAATCTCTGACGGATAGGGAGGAGGCCTGGTGGGAACTGACAAGGTGAAGGCCTGATGTGGCCAGATCCTCCTCAAAACTAACTTTGCTGGACTCCTCCTCCTGCACCTGGTCCCAAATGAAAGCCAAGTTCTGGTCTAATCAGGTTAAACTGGGCTACTTTGAGAGTTGCTTTTTGCCCATGACCCTGTCATTATACTCTCATTGTACTTTAAAATCCCTCCACCAGTGTGTTTTCCTTAAGTGGTCATGGGTAATTGTATGCACAGAGAGCACACATAATTCTTTCACAGCTCTCCTGTTGGTTACTCCATGGAGGCTGGTCTCAGGGAGGGACTTGACGCTTTAAGTCCTTTATACTTCAAAAAAAAAGAAGTGATTGTTCTTAAATCCTCTTGCTGAGACAACCCACTCTCCCCTCTGAAAGTGCCTTTCCTATGCTAATGAACTATGCTTTTCAAACCTGCCACTTTGTGCCCTTACTGCTTTTACCTCTTGGTCGGACTTTTGCCATTCTACCCCCTGCTCTGAAGGAAGAAACCTTCATCCAATATAGTTTGATTGCTCTCCTCAGACATCTTTTGTGCTACTGGTTAATGTCCAGGCAGTTGGCAGGTTTTCCATTTGCCTTATCCTGTGATCAATTAGATTAAGAACCCCTGGACTACCAGAAACACCCACTGCCCCTCTAGGAGAATGTCTCCTGCTGGCCCTTATCTATCCTTGCAAGAATGGGCTAGCTTGTCTTTACTAGAATTTCTTTTGTACTTCACATCAGACAACTACAAGCTTCTGAAAAAGTGGAAGCACCAGGATTAGACCCTAGAAAGGCCACTAGTACTCAGGAAATTTTGGTGGGATACCCAAAGATTCACTCTGACTAAGGAAACCATGAGCAGGTGATCCTGTCTCCTGGCCTAAGGCTTGAAACACCTATGAGAGGCAGACACTTAGTCCAGTGGGCAATTTATGGTCTGTCACATTCTTTCAGATAGGAAATGAACTGAGGTATCCCATGTACAAGCGTTCTTTCTCTTGTGGGACCAAAAGGATTTATATAAAACGTGTCATAGCCGGGCACTGGTGGCTCATGCCTGTAACCTTAGCTACTCAGGAGGCAGAGACCAGGAGGATTGAAGGCTGAAGCCCGCCTGGGCAAATAGTTCGAGAGAGCCTAGCTCAAAAAAAACCCATCACAAAAAAGGGCTGGTAGAGTGGCTCAAGAAGTAAGAGCACCTGCTTAGCAAACATGAGGCCCTGAATTCAAACTCCAGTACCACCAAAAAAGAAAAAAAAGGGGGGTGGGGCAGAGGGAAACCTTAAAGTTTAGATATTTAAACAAAAAATCTTAATCTGTTTCATTTATATTTTATTAGAAAAAATAAGTTCAAATATTTTGCACATTAAAAGAAAAAATCAGCAAATAGGAAAGAGACAGAAGGAAGGTGGATAATTATTTTTTGAAGAAAAAAGTTAAAGGGAAAAGGAAATGATTTTGGATGAGATTTTATACTGTACGCTTTGTCCTAAAGGATTATTCCAAATGGAAAAAGAAGGCTAGGGCAAAACCCAGAAAGCTTAGAAAAGGTGCAAAGTATATAAGTAGGTCTTAAAAGAATATAAAAGATGGAGCTTATAAAAAGTTCATGTGTGTGATTAAGTTGACTATGATTAAAAGATTACCTAGCTGAGTGCTAGCCTGTAATCCTAGCTACTGAGGAGGCAGAGATCAGAAGGATTGCAGTTCAAAGCCAGCCCTGGCAAATAATTCTCAAGACCCTATCTTAAAAAGAACCATCCCCCCAAAAAAAGTGGGGCTGGTGACTCAAGGTGTAAACCCTGAGTTCAAGCCCCAGTACTGCAAAAAAAATAGAGGTTGAGAAGAAATGATACGTAATCATGTTTACCCCGCCATACATCTTCTGACTGGACAGAAACTTGCCCCCTTGCTTCCTATCACCCGGTATTTCTACAGCTCT